AAAGTTTGTGCGCGCTTTGCATCGCACTGCGGGCAGCACCACGGCAGCAGCGCAGTGCCTAGCAGTGTCGCGCCGTCTCTCTCGCACCTGCACGCCGCGCCCCATGGGAGCGAGAGAGACGACGGAAACGACTCGCGGCACACAGGGGCGGCGGTGGGCTCGAAAAGCGGCCGCCCTTTTCCAAGATGGCGCCACTTGTTGCAGGCCAGCCAGGCCAGGCTCCCGGGCTCCCTTTATCTCAGGGTCGTTTTTCCCTTCCTTTTCATCTTTTTCCCTTCCCCCGCCCTCATTCTCGGCCAGGCCATCCCGGGCAGTGTGGGGCCACGGCGGGGCACGGCGGGCGTGACCTGCATCCCGCAAGGACGCGTTGTAGGGGACGCACGGATTCACGGGGAGGGGGTAAGTTGGGTGCTCCACTTTTATTGGTTCAACACCTACCGCTTCCCCGACCCCCTGCTCGGGGCTTCCGTCCGCCCCACGCACCAGACTTGGAACATGAACCCAGCCAGATTCCAAAGCATGAAGCATGGAGAGGAGAAATAACCCCGAAAGCCGCCCTGAGCTGCTCGACAGCGCTCCGTCTCACTCATGGGGCGTTCGGCAGGGGTGCGAGAGGGAGAGAGAGGGCTTCGGAATCAGCCTGCTGGGAACCGTCAGCGACGCGGCACGCCTGCCACTTGTTCCGCGCCAGCGAGTCAACCGCGGGGCCCTGGCGGGGCCCTGGCGGGGCCCTGGCGGGGCCCTGGTGGGGCCCTGGCCGGCCGGCCCTCGGCGGGGTCTGCTCTACATCATGACGGCCATCGCCGAGCCGCTCGTGCCTGCAATTACTTTCGTTAGCGCCGCCGTCTGCTTTCCGAACAATCGCCGACAAGAACGGAACGCGGAGAGGTCTGCAACTTTCAGAGATTCAGTGACCTACACCTAGACCTTGTGGGCCTGGCGGGCCTCGTTCGCGGGCCGCGAGGTGCGATTTACGGGCCACCACGCCGACGAAAGGCAAACTGCTTTCCTTGGCAACAGGCGACGTGTGCACTGTACGCACTACACGTGTGGTGGAAAAAGGGGGGGGGGGCTGCAGGCCGCGGCAGCGCCGTGCAACCCCCAGGCCGGCCCCTCGAGAGGATCATATGCCCAGCGAGTATATCGAGTATCGCACGCGCTAAAATCCAGAATATCCCACCCCCCGGACGAGACGAGATTTCACGCGCGAACCGATAACTTTCCCTCCGGTTCTTTTCGGCCCCGGGGGCCCTGGGGGCGGCAGCAGGCGGCCCAGCGAAGCTAGCGAAGCGACCCCCAGCGGGGCCAGCGGGGCCGGCGGGGCCAGCGGGGCCCGTGTGCAGCCTGTCGTGCTCGGGACTGCCTTCGGCCTGGCGCGCGCAATATGCCATCCCCTCCCACAACCCTTCCATTTCCCAGACGACCAACTCATCCCCCTCGCATGGCGGCCCCGCTGGAAGGCCACCAAGGCCCAGACCAAGGCCCAGGGCAAAGCGAGCGGCAATTCCTTCGAGGGTGGGGGCTCCGAGTCGCAGTGGCCCTGCAGCGCCGCACCCGTTCCTCGCACACATGCACACACAGATGCACATGCGCGCATTCACACACGCGCGCGCCAGTCACGCGAATCAGAACCCTTCATGTTCGTGACCGTCATCGTGACCGCCGTCATCGTGGCTGCCGTCATCCGCGCGCGGCCACCGCAATCGTATTTTGCAGGCCGCTGTACCGGCGAGTACGTACCGCAGAGTACCCGCATGGCACGGCCGCGCTGCCGCGCTAGGACAGCGACCCCGTGCGGCGCGGCCAGGCAGTCCAAAGACCCTACCTGCTACGCCTGCTACCCTGCTACCCGTCCCTGAGCCGCGCACTGGCGCGCACTGGCGCGCAGCCTCGCCTTGGAATCCCGGAATCTCAGCCATCACTCCCGGACTTCCAGACTTCCAGGGACGTCGCGTGGGCTTTCCAGGCTTTCCGCCGGGGCGCCGCGCGGGCCGCACGCGTAATCCAGCGGCCCAGCGGGCTTCCCTCCGACCGCCACACTACTTTTGCCCAAATTTTAATTACTTTCCCGAGCTCCCGCTTCCACGCGTTCGCAGAAGGACTCGGTGCCTGTGTACTCGCAGGCCGCGAAGCAGGTCGCCAGCAGGTTGCCGTTGTTCAAAGTGAGGTGCGGCGGTGGGCTCCACTCCAGGGGACCGTCCATAACGCCCCGAAGTCATTTGCGTGTCGGCCGCGCTGACGTGCTCGCCTCCCCGCCTGTTTCCAGGACGGCCCCCCACACACAAGACAAAGGGTTGGGCTGGGCGCACCCCACAAAGTTAGACGTGTACCCAGCACCCTCGCAACAGGTTGCAGCGGACTGATTCCGCGGGGGCGCGTCTCTCTCTGTCGCACTCGTGGGGCGTGCCGGGCGTGCCGCGAGGGTGCGAGGGAGACTGACAAGACACGCAACAATTGGCGGCAGCGACTCAAACAAATTGGAATTGGTTGTAGGGCAGCGCGGCCGGCACAGCCTCCAGAAGGACTTCCAGTGTGACTCCAGCTCCAGGCTTCCTGGCCTCCAGGGCGCAAGGTTCATTGGCTGGCTGACGGTACCCGGGACGCGTCCGGGGCGTCGCGACCGTCTTGGCCGGCCAGGCCTTGGCCGTGACGACGTTGGCCGGGCCCCTCGACGGCCACCTCGGACGCGCCCCGCCGGCCCGCCGCTCGCTGGAGTCCGGGAGGAGGTTCGGAATGCCCGGCTCGGCCCGGCTCGGCTCGGCTCGGCTCGGCCGAGACGTGGTGTTGGCTTCTTTTTAGACAAAGAAGCCGGCCGGTGCCGTCCGGAGCCGCCCCCTCCTCTCCACCACAGCTGGCTGGGCTCCTTCGCCCCCCTTCCCCCTCCCCTTCCCCGCCGGGCCGGCAACACGCACCGCCCATCCCAGCCGAGCCACACAAGCCTCCAGCGTTGCCAACTTAGCGCAGCGCAGTGCAACGTCAAGGCGGGCCGGCCCACCAGGACCACCGAGGGCCCAGCCCGCCTGAGGGCCCACAGGGGTCTCATCATGGCCCACCAATACGGCGGCCTGACGGGCCTGACCGGGAACGGGTTGGCCACACTTACAGCGGCCGGCGGGCCGACCACCTCGACCACCGCGCCGTAAGCGAGTTACAAGTGTTGCGTGGCCGCCGGGCTCGCCGGGCCGCCATCCAAACACAATCACTGAGACGCCCTCGACCCGAACAACCGGGGAACGACCGCGGTTCACCCATTCGAAGCATTCGAAGCCGGCTGCAGAACCAGCAGACCGCTCTGACCCTCTACCACCCGGAACGCGCTGTGAGTGCGACAGAGACAGAGCGACCTGGTGATAAGGCGAAGTGACTCCTCGGAATCAGACTCGTCAGTTGAAACACAGAGCAGACTGCACAGTGTGTCGGCGACAGGGCGAGGGTGCCGCACGATGGGGGCAGGCAGGGCAAGGGCAGGCGATGCGGGTCTCGATGCTGCGCCGGAGCGGCCCGACTGTCACCTCTCCCTCTGGGCAATCCCATCGGGTGAAGCACTTTCGTCGCTCTGTCTCTCTCGCACTCGCAGGACGGCCCGTGGGGGTGCGAGAGAGACAGACGCCGTTCGGTTCTAAATCAGCCGGCAGACTCCCGGACGTCTAAGTGGCGATTCGACAGCGACGTCGCACTGCCCACTGGACCGGGGGCCGAGACTGCCCATTTCTGCCGTCTGGCTCCGAAGAATCGTCTCGTCACTCTGTCGCACTCACAGGGAGTCCCGAAGGGGCGCGAGAGAGACGAAACGATCCTCCTGAACCAACCAGGTGGCTGGGGTGGAAAAGTCAACGCCTGTCCACGACGGCGACGACGGGGCCCATTTCCGGTGAGGCAATCAGGTGAGGTGTGGGGGAGCAGAGCAGCAAGGCAGCGGCGCCCTCTATCAGCCTGGCCTATCAGGGAGGCGGCTGTGCTCGGCTGCAGGGAGAAGAGAGGAAAACACGACGTCCGTCTTGATCGTCCCTCATCCTCGCAGTGTAGGGCGCGTCGGAGTTGGACACCAACCCGCAGGGCCACGATAGGGGTGCCCGAAGAGCAAACCCTAGACAACAAGTCTCACAGCCTGCTCCAGCCGAGCGGCTCACGCTTGCCTGACTCGCAGCCTCGGACTCAAAACTCAAACATTTGCTTTGATAGTGAGCCGATTGTGGCTTAATTTTGGCGAACAAGGTCGTGGCGTGGCGTAGCGCGCCCCGGCGGCTGCCCCCGGGGAGACGTTAGGGTCCTAACGCCAGTTAGGCTCATGCTAATCATGCGATTAATAATACAAAACCTAATCCGCGCGTAATGCCTAATGCAGGGAAGTGCCGTGGTTAACCGCGCGACACCACCAGAGTCTACTGAATTTCCTGTTCACGTTTAAAAATAGTTGGGGCTGAAAATGACAGACTGGTCGCTTCAAACGCGGCATGACCGGGGCGGGGATTTGCGGCGCGAAAAGGGGGGAGAAGCGGGAGGCGTGTATGAAAAATGCATTGACCCTCGGTGGTGGTTAAGGCGCCATGAAAAACTGAACGCTGATCGCACTGCATCCCCGTTGGCCTCGTTGGCCATCTCAGACAGTGGTGCCGCCCTGCAGCGCAGCGCTGGAACGCGCACACTTGTTGATCCCGCCGTCCTGGGAGTGTCCTGGCCGTGTCCTGGCCGTGTCCTGGCCGTGTCCTGGGCGGGACGCAGCGCGCCACAGAGGATCCTCGCCGGGCCTCGGGAATTGACACTGGAAGGGGATCTGCACATCCCGGCCCGTCCCTTCTAGAGAGGGGGGAGGGATCCTGGCTTGGCAAAACGGCGGCTGCAGCGGCGGCCCGTGCAACGAACTCCGCGGAGCGGTCAAATAACCGTTAGCACTAGGCAGGCAGGCAGACAGGCGGGCAGGCAGGCAGCCCGGCTCGCGGCAAGCCTCTAGCCCCCAGAGGCATCCCAGGCCTGGCCGCGGTGCACTCATTCAAACTCACCTCCTCGGTGACGTCGCGGGGCAGATGCTTGATCTGCAGCTGGCGCCCCATGTGGAACTTGGTCTTGAGCTCCAGCACCTTCTTCTTGACCTGCTCCTCGGGCTCGTCCTCCCAGAAGCCCTCGGTGGAGGCCGTGGCCATCACCTCCGTCGCCCAGAACTTGTCCTGCGCCGGCTTGAGCAGGCCGCCGTTGAAGCAGCCCGTCCCGAAGGACTCGGTGGAGCTGGCCGCCATGGCTGTTTGAACTGTGGCGCTCGTCGCGCGGGTCGCAACGCGGCCGTCCAAGGCGTCCAAGGTGCCGGGTTCAAAGCCTGGGCCGCTGGCGGCTAGCGCGGCAAGCCGGCGAACGTGGGCCCGCTGGGCATCGACGGCACGGCGTCGGCGTGCGTGCGTACCGGACCGGAGCAACCGAAACACTGACTCGCGCGGCGGCGGAGAGGGAGAGGGGGAGGGGGAGCGCGGCGCGGCACGGCGCGGTCGTCCTGTTGCCGGGAAGGGGAAGGGGAAGGATAGGGAAGGAGCGGCGCAGGACGGTGGCGGACGGGACGGCAAGCGACCCCAACGCTGACCGGCCGCAAACTACCGCCCGAGCCATCAGCCAGCCATCAGCCGTCATCGCTGCGCTGGCAGCGGCCTCAGGTTCGAATCCCGGCCCCGGCGCCGGATATAAAAGTAATGTGCCTTGAGGACAGGCAAAGACTGCAAAGACGCCTCAGTTTCTATGAGAAATATACGCTGCGGATGAGCTCCTGGTAGAGTCCTTCATGCCCCTTGGGCTCTAGCTTTAGCTCCTGACCTCGCCGGACCTCGCCCACCGCGTAAGCTGTCGTTTCTGACTAGGTTCTCCCTCCCCTGGACCGAAGGCCCTTCGGAGTGCCCTATTTATTCCAACGAAAGCAGAATGGACCAGAGCGAAAACAAAGCCAACCTCATCGACGCACTCCCAGCCATCGCACGCCCTTTTTGCCCCCTCTCGGACATCGGAATTTCAGCACAGTAAATCCAAAACCCAGTTTCTGGGGCGTTTTTGACCAAAATCCGGGGAGAAATGAATCTGTTCCAAGGTGCCACAGCCCTCGGGGCGCGTGTCGCAGCCTCCGAAAGCACCGTGACAGTTATTGAACAGCCATCCTACCAGAAACTGGGGCGTCCACTCCTAGTTCTGCGGCAAACCTGCATGATTTGGTGGCAAAGGCGCACGGCTTCTGTTTGAAAAGTTACCGGTATCTTTATACCCCGATTTCTGGGTTTTTTCTACGTTTTGATGCCCCAGAAACTGGGTTTTGGATTTACTGTGAGGAATTCAATTGATGACCTTGTTTTACTTTGTTTTGCATTGTCGATCAAAGCGGTGCGTGCGGGAAACTCTGCGCCCACCCCCACAACAAAGCGGGGAAGGGAAGCCAAAAGAAAAGCAAACCCTTTCGTGGTCGTGCTGCACTCCCCGCTCCCCCTGCCACAGCTCGGCACGGCTAGTACCAACACCGGCCACCTCGCTCGGGTCTACATATTTTGTTTCATACACAATTTTAATTACTATCTTTGGAATGAGCCCGCATACTACCCCGTATAAGGAAACCAAACGAGTATTAACCAAGAAATTTGGAAGGGAAAAGAAAAAATTTGAACTCTACACCCCCTCCCCAGTCTTAATGGGGAGGCCTCCTGCTTTACTTCGGTGTTCGGGATGGGAACCGGTGCTATCAGGTACCTGGGGTTAATCCCGTCAGCGACCCAAGCGTTCGCCGGGGGACCCAGTAGGACCCCAAAGCTCAGGCAGTAGGGTGAGAGCACCCAGTACGAAGCTCTTTGAGGGGCGGGACGTAGAGTGAGACGACAGAGAGACAGAGAGAGACTCAGACAGAGAAGAGGTTTGGTGGGAGCTTCTTGTTTTCGTAGGGTTGGTTGTGTACCCCATGGTACCCCCACTGTCCGGCGCTCCCGTACCGAACATACAGCGTTTTAGGCCAGCTTCAAAGGACTTATCATCGCCTCCCCGACGAATCAAGGAGGCACCACCCGCAACCACACACCGGATGGTCTGGATTGATGGATCAAATACTCCATCGCTCCAGTGCCGAGGCCAACCCGCCGAAGCGGATTGCTTTTTAGACACCCACAGCGGAGTGGCCAGGTGAATGTGACTCTGACCACTACGCTATCACGCTTGTACGTCTGGCAGCGTGTTGGACGACGGGTTTGAGTTGCACTGGGAGGAAGGCGGTCGAAAAATGTAATGAAATGATGGGATTCGATCCCCGGACCCCGCAATCGGGGTCACACGTCTTTACGCTCTCGGCCACCACGGCCCGTGATGAGGGGACCGGCGTGAGGTGGGTTCTTGACGCAACAGGACTCGACCGACCCGGTCAAAATTTCGCAAGAAGTTGGGGGAGTCGAACCGCCGACCCTAGCACTGAGAGCCGACGCCTCTACTCCCTGGACCACCACGTCCCATGCTCGGAATGGGCTCACGTTTACGGGTTTGAACCGCACTGGGTGAGGCAGTAAAATTAAATGGAAATATTTGTTAGGACTCGAACCTCCGGCATGTGGGCCTGTTGCACACGGCTCCGCTCTCATGGCCTCGAACCACCACCCTTCGGATAGCAAGTCGAAAAAAACTTTTGTGATGCTGGTATTCGAACGCCGGCCTGCGGTAACTCGATCCCACGTCTCTAACCTCTCGGCTATCACAGCAGTTGAAACGCGATGGATCATCTGCTTTCATTAACGTTCGTTGAATGAAATTTTTTGCCATAAAGTGGCAACCAGGTTTTACAGTGCAGTGAGCGTTTTAAATGATCGTGGGACCAACGCTCTAAATTTTCATGCTTGTAGCACGTTCTGCAGGTTTGTTATGATATTTTCGGTGTACCGCCCCCACTATTTGAACATGTTCAGTCAGCCCATGGACTGTGGCGCCGCAGCAGTGGTGGAAACGCTTTCTTGAAATGCCCGGCCAGACAACATATCGACTATGTAAATGCTCGTGTGGGGCTGCGCCGTGGCTGCGCGCTGCGCGTGAATAAAAGAGAGAGGCAACAGCGCAAGCTCCGCCACTGCCTGGAAACCATGTGGAAACACAACCATAAAAACAAGTGCGCATCGAACGACGCATCTGCGCCTTGTTTAAAATGAAGCGAGCTCCCGGGAGGACGGGGGAGAGGAAAGGGGGGGGGGGTGACAGGGCCGCACCGACATCATCCGACAAACAAATTTCATTAAAGGAGCCGGAAGGATAGGGCCCGAGGTGGATCACAAGCGACGGGCGTATTTCGGCGGCGGGGAGGGGGAGGGGGGAGGGGCACTAATTTCCTCATTACACCGCACGTCTCCATACACACATCACACGTTCGCACAGACGCTCACGCACACACTCACACTCGCGCACTGGCGGCAAACGGGTCGGGTGTTGGGCGCAGTGATTTCAGGGCGGCGTGCTTCAACAAGCAATTAAACAAACTTGGAGGGATGTGGCCGGGCCGGGTCGGCTCGGCGTAAAACAGGCCGAGCAGCCGAGCAGACGACAGACGAGACGAAGACGACGCAGGCGGGACGGCAGTGGTTGGCGGCCCGGGCGGGGTGAGTCGGCGGCAAGCCCCCGGCGGGTGGGCCGCTCCGTGCCGCAGACGCGTCGGTTGGGCTGCCTACCTCGCAGGCGCTCCCCGTGAGGCGGCGGCAGGGGGAGGGGAGGGGGAGGACCCCTCTCCGCAACACCGTGTTCCGATCAGCGAAGCCAAAGCTCGTTGTAAGTCGGGGCTGACCGCCGCGGCCCACCGGCCCAGCAGGCTGATGCCGAAGGGGAGGGGGAGGTCCCGTCAGCCTGCCTCTCTCGTTCCTACGGGGTGCCCTGAGAGAGCGAGAGAGACCTCCCTGCGCGGCTCCAGCTTCTGTGAGGCAAGGAAGCCAGGCTTCCTCACCTCCGTGAAACTGAAGGCGGCACCGCGGCCATCCGACGGGCTTCTCGCTTTTCGATGCCTTGCTCTCCGGCTGGCTTCGGTGGCGCTGTTCCAGGCTTCAAAATGCGAGCGTGCCGCTCAGGGAAAGCAAAGAAAGGGAAAGGAGGGACTCCGCGAGGGGCCCACTTAGGGGTGCCGCCGTGGCCGCCTCCCCGGGCTGCGAGGCGGCCGAGTTACGGACCGCGCTAGACAAGGACACGCCGCTCCTTTGTACACTTTGCACGCCGCGCACGCACGCATTTTTCATCGTTGCGGCCGGGCGGGGCTGGCGGGGCGCGTCCGAGTCAACCCCCGCCACGCCGTCCCGCTGCGGGTGGCGTGGTCACCGCGGACGCAGCGCCGCTAAAAATACGCCCCCTTTGAGCGTGCGGCGTGCGCCTCTAGTCTGTCTGTTTGGGCCGCTGGCGGCCGCAGGTTGGTAGCCCTGATGGGCCGGCCGGGCCGGCCAGGGCGGCCAGGGCGGCCACGGCACAGTACCGCGGTTGCGACGTGCGACTCTCCACCGGCTACTCGCTGACTACCTTGGCTGCACCTGGACTGCCGCCGCGGCGCTGCGAGGTCGCCGTCGAGGACACCGTCGAGGACACCGTCGGAACGCCTTCGAGGCCACCGTCGAGGACGCCGTCGAGGAGGCCGTCGAGGCCGCCAGTAGTGTGTGCGGCATGGGGCGCGCCTGAAGACCTGAAGGGCGAGAAGATAGCAGACAAAGACCGCCGCCATGCCACTGCGGCACGAGCCCCCCTCGCTCCGGAAGGCCGCCATGACGGTCATCGGCGAGAACTTTGAGCCGCTGTGCTACGGCGCCTCGCCGGAGGAGGTGGCCGCCATGATCGACAACGAGGAGTACCTCGCCGTCAAGGGCCCCTTCGTGGACATGCGTGAGTCGAAAGGCGGGGACCACCCTCCGGGTAGCTCTGTCATCCCGCGGGGCAAACAGTGTCGTGTACCGGGCTGGAGCCAGTTAGAGCCAGTTACCCCGCGGGGTAACTTCCTTTTATTCGTGAACCTTTATCCGCGATGAATATGAAAATCCTTGACTGTTGGGACTTGCGCATTGCGTGGGGTAGGTCCAGTTACCCTGTCCAGTCACCCCTTGCTGTCCTACCTCGTTACCCGCTCCCTTCGTTGCCCGCTCACTTCGTCGGTGCATCTTAGCGACGACTAGGCGACGGCTCGGCTAAAATTAGAAGTAAACAAACATCGCCAGGCTTTCCCCTAAACAGAGGCTGCCAAAGAGTGGCGACTTGCGCAATGCCGTTTCGGCGATTGTTTGGGGAGGCCGAGGCTGGCCGAGGCTCAGCCTGAGGGTGCCGCGTGACGTAAAAAGAAAACAGAAAAACGCAACGGCTGCGCTGCCACCACAGTGGGAATTGCGGTCCCGCGTTTGGATTTCTCAGCGGGGCCACTCTATGCCTGCGCCCCCGCTGGCCCCGTCGCCGTGCCTCCGCCTTCCGGATCACAAAGGTTACCTCCGGGCACTCCAGCCAGGAGGGGGCCTCCCCTGAAGCCGCCTTAAGGTAGGCAAAGAGTCGCTACTGTAAGAAGGCAACTTTTGTCGTCCCGAGAGCACTCTCTGGATCCGCCCTTGACTCGCGGCGCCCCCACTGCAAGGCTAGCAAGGCGTTGCCCCCTCCTCTATTTCGGTCCCAGTCATTAAATTGCACGCTCTTTCCGCGTTGCACTGCCAGAGTGCGCTTGGGTGCGTTCGCGCGGTGGTGGCGGGGGAGGGGGAGGGGGAAGGGGAGATTGTTCGCTGGTGTGTACACGCACGCGGTAACGACGGAAAGGAGAAAGGTTTTCCTTTGAACGTTTTGTGTCCCCGCGGAGGGGCGTCGTTAATTATAAACTGACTAACTCTCCAGCGCGGCTCAGGGGGCGGGGTGTGTGGGGGGATGGGGAGGGCAGCATGCATACCAGGAATATTGGTTGCCGCCGGGGAAGTTCACACCGGAGGAATTTTCCAGGCAACCGCCGCGGCATTTCCACACCATTTTCAACAAAAAAAAAGAAATTTTCACCGAACGCCTCTTTAGCGCGCATTCGTGCTGTACATGCTGTATTGTTGTGGAACAACGTAAACAATTCGAAAGCAAACTTGTGTGTGGGCAGGCGTTTTTTTTTGTTTTTTTTTTTTGCGCGCTTGCTGGGCGGAAAGGGTTGGGGGCGTGCCGTCGGACTGAGTAGAGCAACAAAGCGAAAGCGTGGCGGAGGGCTCGGTGCTGCCACACTGCCACACGGCAATTAGAACCAAGTACTTGTCGAGGTTTGGCGCCGTCGGTTGGGGGCGCACCCCATTCCCGCTCCTGCCATTGTCTGTCTGTCTGTCTGTCTGTCTGCCTGTCTACTAGGACGTCAAGGGAGGCCTTTTACGGCACCTAGATTGGACACAGTGGCCACCCAAAGTCAGCAAAATCAGCAAATTTCCGCGATTCGACCACTTTTTGACCAACTTTGGTCCCAAAATCGTTGCGGTCAAAGGCAAAATCGTTGTGGTCAACGTCCGCCCGATACAGGGCACGAAAGAGTAGGGTCTTAAGAATACTAGGACGTCGAGGGTGGCCTTTTACGGCACCTAGATTAGACACAGTGGCCACCCAAAGTAAGCAAAATCAGCAAATTTCCGAGATTCAACCACTTTTTGACCAACTTTGGTCCCAAAATCGTTGCGGTCAAAGCCAAAATCGTTGTGGTCAACGTCTTCCCGATACAGGGCATGAAAGAGTAGGGTCTTAAGAATACTAGGACGTCGAGGGAGGCCTTTTACGGTGACTAGCTTGGACACAGTGGCCACCCAAAGGGGGATGTTCCGCGGAGTGTGACGGGCACTCTGGTTTAAAACTGAATTAGTCGAACAACAGCAGGCAAAAAACAGTCCGCGCATATGGAAAGCTACTTTGGTGCCAAAGCCGAGCCGCACGGAGAGAGAAAGAGGGAGAAACTTTCAACGGACAGTGTTTCGTTCCTGGGTCTCTTAAAATATTTACTCTCGTGGTTTTGAGGTTTGAGGAAGTCAAACTGCCTTCTCATGGCTGATGAAAAATTAACCCTGATGTTGTGTGCCGTGAGCAGCCGGCGTTCTCCCGGCTGGCCACGGCCTCGGTGTCCCAGTTTCTGCCACCTCGGTACGATAATTTCTTTTTGCGGTGTATCTGTGTGACGCGTAAGCGAGCCGAGCTGCGCCGGGCGTCGGGGCTCTACTCCAGTGTGCCGCCCGGCCGCCCCGCCACCCTGCATTCCTGGAGGAGGCCATGAAGCGAGCCATGAGGCCGTGGGGCCGTGCGGCGCGCCCAGCATCCACCGCCATCTCCACTCGGCATGCCGATGGCTCACTCGCCCCACCCCCTACAGATGGCAAATAATTCATTGCAAAATAAGCCACAGACAAACACTCTTGCGGCCGCCTTCACGCTTCGCGCCGCCTGCCCTCACGGGGCCCCGGGGGGCGCTAGCACGGCGAGCATGGCGAGCATGGCGCTGGCGGGACGAGGATTAGTGAGCCCCCCGGGGGTGCAGTGGGGCGCGGCGGGGCGCGGCGGAGCGGGGCGGGTGCTCCGCGTTCCATCCCACCTGCACGATGATACCGCCAAGAAGGCCTGCTTCCAGGAGGGGAGGTGCGAGGGGGCGCACCGACCCGCACCGCCAGGGGGCCGGATTTGCCCATGCCATCACGACATGAGGGAAAGTCGATGCGATTTTGTGGTTATTCCTGATTCGATTCCGCCGCCGAGGGCCGCCCCGAGGGCCGCGAGCAGGGCAAGCAAGCCTAGGACCCGAGGACGGCAAATCGGGACCGCGGATCCACTGTCCCACGCGATCACGCTAGACACGCTCGGGCGGCTTGGCCCCTCGGCCCGAGAGAGATTGCATGCCTTCCAGGGTTTGTGTTTTAACCATTTTTTTGCGGTGTCGGTTCTTCCGAGAGAGAGCGCGACAAAGGCTGCTCGCCGCGCCGGCCGCGCGAAATGGGAGAAATGGGCGGGCAGGCCGAGCAGGCGGTAGACGACTCGGAGTAATAATCCGGAGTGGCGCTACTTTGTCACGGAGAAGACCCGCAGGCTGATGCCGAGCAGCGCCCCGTCGCCCCGTCTCCCTCGCACCCCGCGGGCCGCCCCGTGAGAGTGAGAGAGACGGAAAGGCCTTGTCGCCAAGGAGGGCGGCCTTCATGTCGATGCGGCTGCATTCCAGTAGTTCCAGTGGAGTGGCGGGGCCGCGCATGGCAGCCTGATGGCAGCATGACCCTTCCAGTGAGTGGCGGGGCCGCGCATGGCAGCCTGATGGCAGCATGACCCTTCCAGTGGAGTGGCGGGGCCGCGCATGGCAGCCTGATGGCAGCATGACCCTTCCAGTGGAGTGGCGGGGCCGCGCATGGCAGCCTGATGGCAGCATGACCCTTCCAGTGGAGTGGCGGGGCCGCGCATGGCAGCCTGATGGCAGCATGACCCTTCCAGTGAGTGGCGGGGCCGCGCATGGCAGCCTGATGGCAGCATGACCCTTCCAGTGGAGTGGCGGGGCCGCGCATGGCAGCCTGATGGCAGCATGACCCTTCCAGTGGAGTGGCGGGGCCGCGCATGGCAGCCTGATGGCAGCATGACCCTTCCAGTGGAGTGGCGGGGCCGCGCATGGCAGCCTGATGGCAGCATGACCCTTCCAGTGGAGTGGCGGGGCCGCGCATGGCAGCCTGATGGCAGCATGACCCTTCCGGCCCGTCAGATTGGCTGCCTGCAGGAAGCATGCCCACGGCAGGCCGGGGGAATCACATTAGACGGGGCGGCGGGGGGAGGGGGAGGACCCGGAGGACCCACCCGCCTGCCCGGGGCCTTAGCGGCGTATAGCAGCGTAGCAAGCCTGATAGAACGGCGTGATATTGCTCGGCACCCCGGCGACACGGCAGGGCGGCTGCACCCCGAGCCTGGCCGCCCCCGCCGCACCCTCCCGCTCCGAATACGCGGGGTATCGCCGTCCCTGCGCCGTCCCTACCCCGTGCGCGGCCGAGGGCGCGGGGTATCGCTGTCTGTGTGTGTGTGACGCGCTGTGACGCGCTGTGTGCCTTGCGTGTTCTAGCGGGGCCGGTGCTGGCGGGGGTGGCGGAGACCATCTCCGAGCGGCGGGCGCTGCACCGCAAGCACCTGCACATCCTGGTGCAGCCCCAGCTGCCTCGGCTGAACCTGTCTTTCGGGGACGCGGACGGATTCCACGGCATTATGTTCGTAGGGCAGCGCTGCAAGGTAACCCCAAGGGGGGCCCCGCCCCCCGCACCTCCCCCTCTCCAAAGTCATGGCGACCTTCATTTCGGCAGCCCCCGCGCACATCATCGAATCATCCGGATCGACTCCATGAACAACCCCCGCACCTCCATGCCACCACGCCATGAAAGCTTCCACGAACTGAGAGCCTGCACGTCGAGTGCCCCACTGCACCCCTCCACTGTCAAAGCCGCGCGCGAGCGGACGAGGCCCACCTGCATGCCCTCCAGGCTCCTCCACTGGACTCTGCTCGGTTCCAGACTGGACAGCGCCGAGCCAAATCCCCCTTCGCTCTCCACTCCGCGAATCCCAAAACGAATGGTGTCCGAGTTCGCGGAAGCATCCGACTATATTGGAGGCAACACGCCGGCGAATCGCCATAAAACGTTCCCCCTCATGCGCTCCTCCCGCGATTCCACGAAGCGACTTCGTTTCGACTCCCACACAACGCCATTTCTTCTCCCCCTCTTTTTCCAGTGTGTGTTTTGTAGCGAGTTTGACGTAGTTTCAGACGACGTAGCGGCGTAGCTTTCATGGTTTGGTAGAACCCCGGTTGTAGTTATCGTAACCTTTGGTTTGCAGTGTAGTTACCCTCGGCTCGGGGACCAAACAGTGGCAGAAAAGGAAGCTAGGGCAGGCACCAGCAACCAGCCTTTTACTCCGACTACTTTCCCTCCCTCCCCGACCGGGCCGCGGGGCCGCGGGGCCGCCGGGCTGCAGCACTCCACCTGGAACAGAGGATTCCTTTTGTCTTGATTCGATAGATGGGTGGGTGAATTTCAGGGATGACGGGGTGGGGGGTGGGGGGAGGGGGAAACAAAGGAACGGCTGAGGCGAGAGAGAGAGAGAGAGAGAGGAAGGCGGGGAGCGAGGGGGAGGGACAGAGATACAATGCAAGATGGTGCGCAGCGCCGCTGCTGGTGGAGGAGATGAGCGACGAGCTGAAGCACCTGACGCACCTGCGGAGGCACCACCTGCACCTGCTGACCACGCCCAGGGTGGCCTGCTGGTCGCTGCACGGCGTGGCGGACCAGCGCGCCGGCCTGGACTTCCTGGCGAGCCGCTGCAAAGTAAGTCCTATCCGTCTCGCACCGCTACGCGCCGCGCCGGCCAGCTGCCTGTGGTTTTGGTTTTACAGTGCATCGAGGAGCCCCTCGCGCTGCCAGAGGGGGCCGCGCCGTGCCGTTCTCGCTGTCTCTCCTTTTTCAGCCCGCCCGTCGGTTCGCGCTTCACTCCACTATCACCCTCGCTTGCCCCATGCATCTCCCCCCCGCGCTGCTCTAGAGAGCTCGGCTTCACTAAGGCGACATCACCGTCGACTCCGCCACACCCCATCATCAACGTGTGACTAGTTTTGACGTGTTGCATGCGTCTGTTTTATAGTTCGCTTTGGTTTCTGTCGATTTCCGCTGATGCACTGAGAACGAAACGGGAATGGAAGCGGAGGTCGAGACGACTGGCTAAACCACTCACTGTCCGTGTTTCAGAATTTGAAACACCTCAACCTGTCGTACCTGCGGCACATCAACCCCAACGTGCTGTCCAGTCTCTTGCCTTCCTTCACCACCATCGTCACCCTCAACCTGCGTATGACGCTCACGGTTGACCAGGTTCGCTAATTTAAAAAAAAAAAAAAACTTTTAACTTTTTTTTTTTTCAAAAAAAAATTCCTTTTGTTTTAAATTTGTTTTTGAAAGTTGGTACTGCCGGTTGCAGCTGCTGGCGCAGATCGGGCGGCACTGCCCCGTGCTGCGGGAGCTGAACCTGTTCGGCACGCCCATCACGGACAGGGGGCTGGTGCAGCTCTGCATCTCGGCGGAGGGCCGCCGCCAGTGCCAGCGCCTGCAGAAGCTCGTCGTGGCCGACACCTGCGTCTCCGTGTCCGGGGCCGCCGTCGTGCTGCAGTCGCTGCCCAACCTCACCGACTTCGACTTCGACCACATCTTCGAGGTACAGCGGCCAGCGGCGCCAGCGCGGGCCAGAAGACTGCTGGAAGCGGTCCTTGTTCTAAACGCGTTTTGAGCCCCAGAGTAAATGGGACTCGAACCGAGCGAGTGGCTCCTTCGGTGGGCAATCCATTGGTGGGGTCACACGTTCGTTTCGAGTCCCATTTTGTGACTCTGGGGCTCAAAACGTGTCTAGAACTGTGGCCACCTCCACCGGTCTTCTGGCCCTGTGGCGACTGTGGCGCGCCTAGCGCCCGGCAGGTAGGCACGGCGTACGCCAGGTCGGCCGGCGTGTTGCCTACCCCGCCGTTCACAGGCGCTTCATGGGCGGCGGAGCGTGGAGCGCCATCCACTCTGGAAAGCCAAGAGTGTGCCGCCTCAAGGCACACTCTGCCAGGTGGCAGGTACACTGCAGCGCCCTGCCTTCCCTTTGGCTCCAGGCCGCCGACCTGGTGGAGCAGTGGGACCGCGTGCTGGAGGCGCGCCTCCTGACGCCGGCCGGGGTGCGCCTGTCCGAGCAGCCGGTGGCCCCACCCGACCTGCTGCAGCTGCGCGCGCTCACCTCCAACGCCGAGTTCGTCAGCATGGACTGGGTGGACTCGGCCGTCAAGATGTGCCCCTTCACCACGTCCGTCACCATCAGCGGCTCCTGGCTGCCGAGCGAGGTGTTGTACAAGGTGAGGGTCGCGGGTTCGCGCCCCGGCACTCTTCGTCATTTTTGGAACTCGTTTTCGTTGTTCCAGTTCATGGTGCTGGAGAACCTGACGGCGCTGTCGCTCACCAACGGCGAGGGCCTGACGCTGGACTTCCAGGAGGGAGTCTTGCCATTGCTGTCCGCCTGCGGCGAACGCCTGCAGAACCTCATCCTGGCCAGCTTCACGGAGATAGACATCGCAGGTCGGGGAGAACGAAAAGTGACAGGGAGTGGTGGTTGAACCCGCGGGCGGAGTGGACGGAGGCTTACTTTGCTCGCTTCCCTGCCAGGCATCGGACGGACCTGCCCGGGACTGCTGAACCTGGCGCTGTCCGCCATCGGCCACTTCGACCCCATCAACTCCGTGAACCCCGCCTGGTTCTCGCGGCTCAACGCGCTGGAGGTGTGGTGCGACACCTCCCAGGCGCACGCCCCCGTCCACGAGCAGGTCGTCAGCCCCTGCCTGCTGCGCCAGCTCCTGGTGTCCAGGAACATCAAGAACCTCCTGTTCACGGCGTGCGGGACGCTCACCGACCGCCTGTTTGCGGAAATCTGGCGGGTAAGGCGGAGGGATTTTGCAGTTGAAGAAATCTGGCACTTCCACGCCGATCTTTACTAATTTTTTTTTTTCAGGACAACCCAATGAAAAAGCTGTCACACCTGACCCTGGACCACTGCCACGGCGTGTCCCCGCAGCTAGTGCACCAGGTCTTGGACGCGGAGAACGAGCTCACGATGCTGCGACTCTGGAGCTGTTGCCAAATCCACAAGAACCACAATGCAGAGTTTTCCAAGAGAATTTGCTCCGAAAATATGAACATGTACCTCGAGTGGTTTGCCTACAATGACTGATTTTTTTCCCCCTTAGATTTATGTGAAGTGGAAAGGAACAACTCTCTTACCATCCGTTCCTTTCAGTTATTCGTTAAAAAAATATTTTTTTGATAATAAATTGAATGCGGAAATTACTACTCGAGTGGCTGGCTTATATTCCCGCCCCCTCCCACTTCAACTCTCCAGTAAACTACCCCATGAAAGAGTAGAAACAATTCTACTCCTCGGGCCCCCGCGAGCCGAGCGCCAAATACAGCAACTAGCGGCGACTTGGTGCACTTCTTGCGATCTGAACGGATCTGCAAACTGACCCCGAACGTCGTTTTCTTTCGTCGCTCTGTCTCTCTCGCACTCATGCGGCATCCCGTAGGGAGGTGCGACAGAGACAGAGCGACGCTAATCACTCTCGGGATCGGTCTGCTGGCGCTGCTGGCCAACTGCTGGCTGCGGGAGCGAGCCGGCCAGGCTAGGCAGCAGCCAGGCAGCCAATGAGCGGCAGGCGGCAGTGCCCAGCAGCCCAGCGGAGCCACCGGAGCCACAGAGCGTCACAGAGCCGCACGAGGCGCGCACCGCACTCAACAGTCTCGTCTCGCGTCGTTCAGGTCCGTCAGTGTGTAGCCGCAGCCCGTGCAGCCATGGCGTCAACTTATCCCTTGGCGTCGACTTATCCCTTGGCGTCGACTTATCCCTTGGCGTCGACTTATCCCTTGGCGTCAACTCTTCCCTCGGCGTCAACTTATCCCTTGGCGTCAACCCTTCCCTCGGCGTCAACTTATCCCTTGGCGTCAACCCTTCCCTCGGCTTCAACTCTTCCCTCGGCTTCAACTCTTCCCTCGGCTTCAACCCTTCCCTCGGCGTCAACCCTTCCCTCGGCCTCAACCGATCCCTCGGCTGCAAGTATTGCACATTTGTTGAATCTTTGTGCTTCGAGGCCTTCGAGGCTGGATTCGACTCGTCCCCCGGCTGCTTCACGTTGTCCACCGGCTGCTTCAACCTTTCCGCCGGCTCCTTCAACTAGGGCCCCGGCTTCAACTCATCCACCGGCCGCAACCCGTCCGCGGGCGGTCCCGGGCAGCTCAAGAGGAAACACAGGTTACTCAGGTGAGTGTGGCGAACCACGTTGACTGTGTTGTTGTTGTCGTAGCCGCGCGCCGTCGCACAGTGGGCCAGAAGGCCGGTGGAGGCGGCAGAAATTCTAGACGAGTTTTGAGCTCCAGAGTCGCTAAACAGGGCTCGAACCAGACGTGTGACCCTATCAATGGATTGCTCTCTGCCATTGGTAGCGTCACAAGCTCAGTTCGAGTCCCATTTGACGACTGGAGCTCAAAACTCGTCTAGAATTTTGGCCGCCTCCACGCGTCGTGCGTGAGCGGCGTGTGTCAGTCTAGTATGTATATTTTTGCAGCCCATAATGCCGGTGCGGGTGACGACACTGACGACGACTACGACGAATACAACCACGACCGTGCCGCGTTGGACTTGGTCGTCGTGTTGGAGGAGGAGAAGATGCAGACGCGCTTCCTCGAAGAGATTCAAGACCTGCGCATGGAGCGCCTCCTCTCCTTGCAGGCTATGGAGTTCTTATTTTTCGGGAAGAAGTATGATCTGGTTGATCAGCATCTCTACGATGGAAACATTAGTGCGCAAGGTATTTATTGCAGCGAAGGGATCCTGGCATGCAATCAAGGGAATGGTTCCGTTGGGATGGCGACGCGCCGCGGTGCCGATGTTGGCGGGTCCCTGAGTTCCCCGTGGCGGCCATGTGGGCCATGGCTAGGCCGCGCAGGGCCTCCCGCTCGTTGCAGCGTACAGCGCAGAGGTTCCCGCTAGAGGCTTAATTATTCTTTAACCATTCTGCTCCGTGTTATTGTCCAAAGGGAGGGGATTTCTAATCCTCACTGTTGGCAAGAATTTTGAACTGTTCCCTTTTTTTTGGTTTCCAGAGGCCTGTAATGAGTTCTCCGACCAAAAGGGTATCTACTGGCCTAACGAATGCCCCGCTCTGGTTTGTACTTTCACTTTGTTCCCATCAAACCTCTTTCCTTTATGACAAAAAAAATTGTTGTTATTTTTCACTTTGTTTACAGTTTAAGAATGGCGACTGGCATCGTATAGAAGCCATGATGTGCGCTAGGGACGCTACGGGCAATGTGCCTGTGCGAGACTTGCGTGAGGATGGCCCGCCCAGAGTTCCAGGATTCAGGCTTTGCTCTATGCACAAAAGAGCACGAGCACGTAGACCCAAGTGCACTCATACCGGATGGCATGAGAAATCTTCTGGATAAGCTGTCCCCCTTTAATGTGACCCTGAGCAATTTTGTGTCCCTTCCAGATATGTTTCATTGATTTTACCTGTAGTCTTTTATGCGCCTGTGATTCTAGTTGTTTTAATTGTAACATGAAATTATTACATTGTTTCCGAGTACCAATTCACGGATGCTTGAGCCTTTTCATCTCATATCTTGATCTCGTAGAAACTAATGATGTAACTTTATAATCTTAGCAAAGTAAAGCTCTTTTACGATTTAATAAATCAATTTCGAAATTGATGAAGTGTCATGCATTTCCCTTTTGACAAGCTCTCACTCGTGTGAAATTTAATTGAACACTGCAAAACATAGTTTGAAAATATTTTATTACCAAATTCTTGTATACAATATAAAAGTCATATATACCATAGTTGTGTAAGCAGAAAAAAAAACGTATAAATTCATCAATAAACTACATAAGAAAACTGGTAAAACTTTGACACGCCACAAGTAGATTCGAATCCACCCTCAAACCACTAATTACCCCATACCAAACCCTAAGCAGGCATTCGCATGGCTGCGTCTAATCTAATGACACATCCGTTCAGCATGCTGTTTTGGAAAATATGTTCCACCAAATGTGCGAATTCATCAGGTTTTCCTAAGCGTTCTGGGAATGCTGCATATTGGACTAAATTGTTGATGGCTGGGGCTGGTAGTCCTTGTAGTAGTGGTGTTTCAAATAACCCTGTAAGCACATTGAAAGGATTAAGGCATGGGGTAAATTTTTTAGGAATAAAAGTACAAAAAATTGGAGACAAAATTTCATACCTGGAGCTATGGTAACAACCCTTACACCTATTGGGCCCAAATCTCTGGCAATCGGTAGGGTCATGGCAGTGATGGCTCCTTTACTAGCGGAATATGCACTCTGACCAACCTGGCCATCAAACGCAGCAATGCTTGCTGTGTTCACGAACACACCACGACTTCCATCTTCTTTGGGCTCATTTGCTTGGAAGTGCACAGCTGCTAATCTTATCACATTGAATGTTCCCAGTGTATTCACCTTCAATAAGTAGGATTTTCAAATTTGTGAGAAATTACAAAAAAGAAACTAACATTCAAAAACTTAAATTTTAAAAAATAAAATAAGTACCTCAAGGACTCTTTGGAAATCTTTAAGGGTGTGAGGGGATTTCTTCTTTAAGTTCACCGTTCTTTGGGCATAACCAATGCCAGCACAATTGACAACCAGATCCAGCCTTTTGAATTTATTCACAGCCGTTCCGAGAGCCTGTTGTACATCTTTTTCTTGCGTTACCTGAGTGTACAAAGAATATCAATGAGCACTAGACGGAAAAACTGTACAGGTCAGTCAGTACAGGTCAACACTTACATCTATGGGCGCAAAAATCACATTTTTCAAGCCTTTAGCAGCATTTGGCCCATCCGAATTTGGTAGATCGGCCAACACGACATTTGCACCTTGTTTTGAGAGCCGTTCAACAGTTGCTCTACCCAAACCTGAGGCACCCCCAGTAACAAATGCACTGACACCCTAAAAATGGGGGAAAATTTCAAGTTTAATTCAAATTTTATTTGAAACATTGGAAAAAAGCACATAAAATTAACACGGTATGAATGAAAGCAAAGGGAGTTACTTTGAGCATGGCGGTCCTGAACTTCAAGGAAAATGTTAACACCAAAACCAGAGACTGTTCGTGGCACTTAACGACAACGAGTAAACAACAGGCGTGACTGTCGAAACATGTGTTTCATTGAACCGCAGTAACCCTTAACCTCTCCCAGGCGCGTTCGGAAACCCTGCTGCATCGGCGGCCTCTGTCTTTGTCGCTCCCATAAGCCTGCCGTAAGCAAACAAAGACAAAAGACAACAGAAGAACTTAAGAGTTTCGGACGCGACCAAAGTTACTGTGCCAACCTACATGCATTGGGGTCTGTTTCCGGGGAGGAAGGGAGCGGCTGTCAGTAGTGCGCGGGCGCGTGGTGGGAGCAGGTCTCTTCCTCCCCGGAGACCAACCCTGTTCCACAACACATGTTGCCAACGTACGCTACGAAACAAAACGTAAACAAGACAAGATGTTTATTTCATTTTTAAATGATGTTGTTTTGTTCTGTGTAACCCGATCCTAGTTTCAGTCCTTTGGGTCGCACTTAAAAACTGCTTGTATGTCTGGTCTTTGTCTGACACTTTATGGTCGACACTGATGTCAATAGGTGAATGAAAGCACTTTTATTTTCAGTGTTTATTATCTAATTCAGTATGATACGTCAGTTAGAAAAGATTCGAATCGGTGCCATTGAACACCTCGAGTTCATGGCTGAAGAGTGTGGAAGAAGGGCTCGAAATCTGACTCTAAGCAATTATCGTGATGTGGAAAATATTCACACCTCAGGGGTTTTGTCCTTAGATCTGGATGTGGATGGTCGTTAGTGAGTGTGCTCTCATTGTAATTTTGCCTTTACTTTAAACTCTTGTTGCTGCTACTGACTCTTTGTTTCATTGCAGCCTCCTATCTGGTTGCTCCGATGGTAGTATTTACATACATGATCTTTATAACTTTACCGGAACCCCAAGTTTCACAGCAAGTGCTGAGCATATTATCGAGCGAACCCACAAATTTGCACACAAATTTAGTACGGAGTGTGTCCAATGGTATCCTCGAGACTCTGGTCTCTTTGTTACTGCAAGTATGGATAAAACCATACAAGTGTGGGATAGCAATTACATGCGTCCTGTAGAAAAAGTAAAATTTGAAGGTCGCATTTTTCAAATACACATGTCAACTAATACAGGATCCAAATGTTTAATTGCAGGTATGGGTTGTTCAGTGATGATTACTTTACGAGCATGATGAATGGTTGGGCCTGATGTGCAATTTCGTTTTGCAGTTGCTGGTACTGAGAGCATAGTGAGACTTGTCGATTTAAAGTCTGGTTCATACTCACATGAGCTACGTGGACATGAGAGTGCAGTGCTGACATGTCGCTGGTCACCTAATCAAGAGTATCTACTAGTTACAGGAGGCTGTGATGGAAGAATAATCTTGTGGGATGCTAGGTCTGCCAATACTGCTCTTCGAATTCTAGATCAAAATAATGGTCAGGTTACCTATAATAATAAATTTAAACTTAAGTCTCATGATGGTGCTGTTAATGGACTATGTTTCACTGAAAATGGACTCTATTTAATCTCTCTTGGATGGGATGCTAAAGCAAAGCTATGGAATATGACTTCTGGCAAGAGAGAAACTGTAGAGTATGGTTCTGTCCCTTCTGAGAAGCGTAAAAGCATCCAGTTTGATGTTTCAGGCAGTTCTAGTAAAGAAATTGTATACATCCCATCCGATGGTAAAATCCTTGTATATGAGGTGCAATCTGGGCAACTAGTAAAAACATTACAAGGACATTATAACCAAGTTAATTCATGCAAGTATAATACTCTGTATCAAGAACTGTATAGCGCAGCAAATGATCGCAGCATTTTAATATGGACTCCTGATGTTTTGCAAGAAGCGGCCTACAAGGAGAGCCTGAATACGCAAAGGACTTATAGTAAAGGAACATCCCGACCCAGTAATGAAGTGACTCACGATGTTTGGAGCAGTGATGAAGACTAATTATTTGTAATATAGTATTATGATTTGTTTATGCACGTGTATTATTTTTTCACCAAATTCCATCTTTGTTTATTTCTTTAAATAATATTCTTCTTGTAAGAGGGGAGAAAAAGAGGGAGAGAGAGGAGAAACTATCAGTGTTCTCTTTTGCAATGGATTTTAATGAGATCACAATACAATTCTAGAAAGAAAACAAAAATTGTATAAGCTAAAAGGTAGAATAATTACCTTACAAACCTTCAATTGATTGAGGAAAAAAAAAGGTTTTAAGAAAGGGGTGAGAATGAAGACTAAGTACGACAACAAAGTGTCACATGTTACCTAAATCACACTTGTTGAAAAAACCATTCCAACTAAAAATCACATTCTCAAAAAGAACAATGGCAGAAAACAGCAGAAATTTTGTTCTTTAACAAAATTTGCAGTCACAACCTACATTTCTTCACGGCCCTCACAAAAAGGTCAAAATGAAAGTGAATCAGTATTCATATCATTCCTTTTAATTTACGTTGCAGTGAAGTGATTATGATGGTCTTGGTGGCCCTTACATTTTCTCCAGCAAACACATTGCAGATAACACTCGAAACAATAAAATTTCCAATAAACAACTCTACAGACACATATGTACATAAACATGCATATACAACAGTTAGTACAGAAGAAAATAATACAAAATAATACAATATAATGTACAGAACTATTTAAAAATACTGTTCACCATCAACCACTTGCTTTGAATAGTTAACTTTAATGTTAAGGAACACCACTTGTGTGTGCTAAGTTTACAAAAGATGCTCAACCCTCAATGACTAGGGACAAAATGGGAGATTCAAAACTGATGAAAGATGGGAGATCTGTGACTGTTGGCTGAAAAAGGCCTGGTTACTTGCCTGCGTCTCTGGCCAGGAACAGTCCAAAAATTAATGTCCATATTTGATGTAGCAAAGGTATGGAAATACAAATAAATTTTAATTTATCTTAAATCACAGAATCTTCAATGTTATCAAAGTAAGACAATCTGTAGATGCAATCTCCTGTTCCCCCAGTCAATTTAATTAGATAATAATAAAGAGAATAAAAACAAATCCAGAGGTTTTGGTTTAATCTTGAACAAAGAATTCAAGAGAGGCAACAGTGTGAAACCTCCATAGCTAGTAGTTTCTTTTCTTTGCTCCAGGTTCCCAAATTTGATGTTCAGACTTGAATCAAACACTAAGGTCTGCATCATCGAAATTAAATGGAGCACCATCACAGCCGAAAAGTTTATCACTATTGCTGCAGACAGAGCAGATATAACAGCCGTAAAAATAAATTTAACATATAGTACAAAAATATGTCACAGATAATTTAACACCATTCTATATTAATTTAATTCTTTGAAGAACAATATAGAAAGAATTCTGATTATGATACAAAACATTTTTACAGCTTCACCACTAACTGCTCCAGTGCTGAATACATGTCCCCCCCTCCCCCCTCCCAACAAAACAGAATAGAAAGAACAGAATTAACACACACACTCGCTCACTTCTGATTGTGAGCAGTGGTGGAAAGTTTTACATACTTGTAAATACAAATATATCCAAATCATGATGCATAAGCATAAATATAGTCACAAAATTAAATGATAAAAAACACTATCCTCTGTACATGCAGTTAATTTAACTCAGGATAGAGACATAATGACAGAAAATGTAAGGGACAAAAGAATCTAAGGCACAGAAAAACAAGGAATCAATTTTCCAAGCATTGCTTGGGCTGAAGGACAATAGAAATTTTAAACCATGAGCATTTGCTTCATAGAGTTACTTTGTAACACCAATTAAAAGAATCTTTTGAGTTATAAATTTAACAACTTTTTTCAAGAAAAGAAAACTTGATTTTTAACAAAACTGAAACAAGTGAAAGAGAAACAAGTTTGAGTGATTATCTGCGCTTTTTCTCTTTTCTTTTTTTCTCTTTTTTCTTCTGTACTTTTTCATCATCTGAATCTTCAGATGTGTTGAAAGAGTGAAGAAGATTTCTCCCCATTCTTCCAAGTGACGCAACAGATCCATTGAGGGATTTGTGTGCTGGAAGGTCATGAGGCATAGAATTGTTCATTTTACTCTCTTTGGAACTGTTGGAGTGATGTAGAAGACTGAAGTCTGGGGAAGCACAAGGACTTTCATCCATCGACACTGGAGAAGCAGGAGGGTTCTCACCAACTGAGTTCAAGGGGCTTGTGGAGCGGAGTTGCGGGAAAAACCTTGATGATGTGGGGGATGTTGGGGGACTACTTGTTGGAGAGCTTGATGATGCAGAATCGTTCAAAGCAAAGCTGTAAAACCCAGAGAGAATGAATAATATTTGGAACTGTATTTGTCACACACATCAATTCTACTTGTGAGAAATGAGTGGCCACACTTACTTCAGGGTGCGTTGGCTGGAGAGGAGGCTCCCTATTGCTCTGGACCTGGTTGGTGTTGGAGGCTTGAATGGAGTTGAACTAGCAAGAATGTCCAACTTTCCTTCGTTTAAGATAGTTGCTACTTCAAGTTCATCTAGAAAAAATTAGAATAGAAGTTTACCTATTGGGTATTGGGACAGGTACAATATCAGAGGTTTGTGAGACTTATCAGCATTGACTCACCATCAGAGACTTGCATGTTCCATGTACCAGACAGTGGCCTCGGAGCAGAAGTATTGATCAATCGCCTCTTCATGATTGATTTGGAGCCAAAGAGGGAAGACACTACGGGGCGTCGCAGGACTCTGTCAGGCCGACCACACTTCCTCCGAAGAACCTCAGTCATCTTCAGTGGCACAGACAAGAGGAAGATGAGCAAGTTGAGGATGGCCATAAGACCAGTCAAGGCCATGTGCTGTGCAACAGCGAGGGGTGGGGAAAGTTTAGTGATGAAAAGGGGGGCAGTTAATGCGCATGCACCAAGGATCAAGGGGTAATGGAGTGGAAGCCCAATTCAAAAAATACAACCACCCCTATCAACTTAGGGTAATTTCCAAAAGCAACTAACTTTCTTTGGCAGAATATCAAGGGAAACAGCTATTCTACTTTATACACAAGACAGTGGAAGCATTGCTACTAATAGAATAAATGATGAAAAGCATTGGTTGGCATAAAAAGAATTAGGAGAACAAATGAATAAAATTTTAAATGACTTCAAGGTAAATCTGATGAAGTGATTACCCAGAATGCTATGAAAAGCTGTTACTGATACAAGGATACTAGACTACATCAAGGCATTGCATAACTAGCCCTCTAGGTACAAGTTTTGAAGGGGTGAGATGGGGAAATTGGGTGACACAAAAATTAAGAAACTAACTTACCGGAGCTTTGAGGTCTTGGGCAGTGGGATTCCTCTTGCGCCGTTCACACCACATTTGTTGAAGCCGAGGTTGTTTCAAAAGTTTGTCCACATTGGGCCTTTCCAGGTGATTTGGAATCAGCATTTCTCGAATAATATTTTTAAGTTCTTCTGATAGGTCTGTGGAGAATCACAAAATTGTGCAGTTATATGCAAAGAAGAAAGGGTAAGGATAAATTTTATTCGTCAAGTTCAACATACGAGTTGTTTTAGTTAGAGGTATTTCTCCTCTTCTAAGACTTTGCCAATCTTCACCACCTCCAGGCATCACAATGTCAGCAGCAAGTTCCAAAATACAAAGTCCTAAACTAAAAACATCAACTGCTGGAGTGCATGGCCCTCCATCTAACAATTCTGGGGCAAGGTACCTCCCATCACCTTCCACAACATTTTTGGGTGGCAAGGCATCCTACAAATATTTAAAAAAGTCACACATATTAATAAAACTTTAAAATATATAGAAATTGAAGAGAGGAGAAGGAACGAGAAGAAACAGGCAGAGCTTACCTGACTCATATCAACAAGAAGACCAAAGTCTGCAAGTTTACAGACACCCTCTGCTGTCATTAAGATGTTCTCTAATTTAACATCTACATGGACCAGCCTGTTGTCATGGAGATTTTTGAGACCCTGAATAAAGCACAAAAATAATTAAGAGGGTACTTGTTCATTTCACCATAAATTCAAATCAAACTGTTTTTACTCACCAACAGGAGGTCAAGGAGAATCTCCCAGACTTTACTTTCATTAATTTCATGATTAGTACCAGCATATGCTTCCAGTGATGTCTGGCAAAACTCTAACCATAGAAATAGTCTGCCCTGTTCCTCCCATGCATTGTAAAGTCTTACGCAATTTTGATGCACAGGAATCATTTCATGTTTGCGTACTTCTTCAGAGCGTTTAAGTCTAAACCGACAAGAATCATGGGTCAGAATTATAAATATGATGCAAGTTAAAGAACTCACCAATTTATTAAAAGACCTACCTTTCAGCCTCGTTGTGAAAGATTTCTTTAGAAACCTTAACTGCATACACTTTGTTATCTTCTTTGCTTATAACTCTGTAAACTTTTCCAAAGTGACCTTCACCCACTTGAGTCACATCTTTGAAAACCTGATGCATATAGTTTACGTCCCTACGATGTCTGTCATACAAGCTACTCAATGGCAAACCTGCAAATCTGGTTAAGGAAAAACCTAGTGGAAAACCATGTGAAATGACCATAAAAACAAATACAACACATCACCAAAGTTTACAAAATTTAGTTGTTTTTTTTAGGGTTTTTTTAACATTAAAATTTACTGGTAGTCATAAATGGGAAATGAGCCTAGAGCCTTAATTGGGTCAATACCAGATGTTCCAGACAAGTCACAACAGTCTCTAATCAAGGCAGTACATAGCACAAGAATAATTTGAATAGGAAGCACAGAAAATCAGCAGAAAAACCCCACCTACTGCTTCTTATTCCCTTGTTTGTTGATATTTATGTTTACATTTAAGGAAACAGCTGTCATTGAAATCAAGGGCAGAAATTCCAGATCCCTATGAATGTAAAGCAAGAAGTTAAAAGCAAAACTGGTGGCGACAAAAAAGGATACACTTAGATCGATCTTGTTTAAAAGTAACAAGAGAGGCCTCTCTTGGAACTCTGAACCAAGGGGAGAATTTCACCGGCGTCTTCGGAGGGACGGGGGTCTTTGTTGTTGTCTCCACATCCTGCCAACAACAACAACAACAAACGATTCATGTATATCGCGGAACGGAATACCTCGCAACTAAATCAATACGACTCTGAAAAGAATGGGGCTTCAGCTTCCACATAGGGTTAAGGTTACACCGGCCGGCCTCCGACCACTTGTTGTTCTTTTGAGGTTAGTCGCCAATGTTCCGTGACAATAAACAATCCACTCTGGCATCCCAAAATTACGCATTCTCAATAGAAGAAACATGAATCGACTACAACGGTATATTTTTATGGATTTCATTGAATGCGACATAGTTATAGCATAAATTTGACCTTCCGCAACATGGCCTACAAACCTTCTTTCTTTGAAACGAATCCTCCGCGTCGAAGGAGAAACAATTCCCAAACAAACTTCCGTGGCCCTCCAGACACAGCGAATCTTCCTTCAGAGCCATGATGCACTTATGCACCAACAAGATGCAATTATTTTATCTTGAAGGGTAGCAGAAACATAACTACTCAGACTAGAAGAAAATAACACGGCACTCGTTTAAAACCCCCACACCACACAGCAACCACATTGTGGTACTTAAAAAGAAACGACGTGATTGGTGGGCATTTGCATTGTGGGTACCGTCAGAAAGCGACGCCGCCGTCGCTGATGTAGTTCGGACCCACGCCACCAGATCGCGGGAGCGCAGGCGCGCAGCTCAGCCAGCTCGGCTTCCGCTGGCGGGAAGATTCGGATCGAATCCGTTCCGGGCGCCTTCATGTTACTTCCGTGGAAAAATACTAAAGCAGCAACCACAAGTTTTTTGTTTAGTTAATGATTGTAGTGATCATTTACAGTAAAAAAAAATTGATCTAGTGTGTCAGGAGTCTTGTATCCAAATGAAAAATGGTTGGATGGAAGGGGTAAAAGGACAGTTAAAAGCAAGACCGTTGGAAACTGAGTTCAAATATATTTTCACATTTCATATTTACAAAATAAAGTTTTACTAGTGTGCTGATGGCTCTCATTTAAAATGAATTTAGGATTCTAACAAGCTTGATGGTAATTTTTAAATTCCACAAGATTCTATAAAACAATGCAGCCAAGATTAATAGATTGTTTAAAATTAAGTTGCTGTCATTATGCAATCAAAAGAAAACACTCAGAATGAGGGAGAACAATCAACCCACACATGGAAGCGACAGAAAATCATAAGTAGAAATTCATTCATAGAAAGATGAGAAATTTAGACAGGATTGAAACATTGATTTACAAAACTATAGCATTACAAAACTAGATTTTTGAAATAAACTTTTAACAAATGCTACGGAACATACATAGCCGTGCATCAATAACCGAAAAAAGGTGCAAACACATGGTGTGAAGTCGGTGACAATGCAACACCCCAAAGCTTCAGCCAAAGCAGCTATTGAAACCACTTTGGCACCAAAGATTAAAAATCCATTAAAAAACAAACCTCAAAAAACAAATGTTTATTCTTAATTAAAGAATTTTTTTAAATCCTATTTTTATTTAATTTTTAAATAAAACAAGAACACCTTTGATATTGATAGATGATACATGGACCAAGCAAAATAGCATGCAATAAGATGGTTGCATGGAGCCGGTAAGCTCAAATACAAATCATTAGGCAAGAGTTTAAGAATTGAGGTTGTACCAGAGCAAGAATGAGCTGCTAGATATGTTTCTATCATGATTAACAAGTGTTTTCACAAAAGAAAAACAAAACAATGTGAATGATTGATCTTAAGACAATAAAATATTTTAAACCCGCCCATCACACACAAGTAAATACAATGGTTGCACAAAAAAAAACAACAGAAAAACTACAATTATACATGTCAGCAAGTAAAAACCCAATATAGAAATAAATTAACAGCAATCTGCATCTGTCCTTAATGCTCCAGTCACAAAGGAACAGAGTTCGATACAGAAAAAGGGGGCAGGGGAGGAAGGAAAACGGAAGGAATCAACACAAATTTACAGGAGCGAACAATGACTAATCTACATTGTGACAACATAACCAACACACTTAACATTATCTTAGCCACTACAACAACAAAGTTACAATCTAAATATTCTTAGTAGTAGGCAAGGAAACATGTCTTTTGTCCTTTATTGGAATCTTGGAGGTCTGTCCAGCACGGATGAGATCCTTGCGACTTGTACATGTATACATGTAAATTGTACAACAAAATAAATCCTAGCACTTAGATGGGATGACATCAGTTCGCGTAATTTAACAATATTTACACTTGAGCACGATGGCATCATTTTGGCACTTCATAACACTATAACATTCCAATATCTCAAGCAAGATGCAGCTCACAAGTTCACTCTGCCATCACAGCAGAGGTAACCAAATCACAATGCATAAAGGCGTAAAGCCAAAGAAGTAGCTGAAGATTAGCAGCTGATGATTAGTTTGCAGCCAATTCAGATGTAGATTCCACTGCTTTTGGCTTGTCTTCACATACTGCTGTTGCACTTGACACCATCGATTCAGATTTGACGGCACTGTTGGATGGTTCACCAGCTGCAGCAGCTGCTAATGCTTTAGCGGCCACCACAAGAGAAGCCGCCTCAGAAGATGGTGAAAGAACTGCAGAATCGTCTAAGTCGGCCATTCCTCGAGCAACCAATTCTTGATTGATGAGAACAACCTGGCAACAGAAAAAAGACAGTTACCCTAAGACAAAGCTTGTACAAAAGTTACGGAACTTCCCAAAAGTCAATTATGATACAGAAAGTCGAAGCATGTTTAGAGGAAAAAAGTGCACCAATAGGAGTACTAGTCATGGCCATAACCCTTCTGGATCAAGAGTTTCCTTAAACTAGAGAATTTATTCTTCAGTGCAACCAGAGCACTAGTGCAGTTCCACCTTTTTAAGATAGCAAGCCAAATTTGACTGGAGGATGTATAGAAGCTCTTTAAGATGCAACTATATGAACAAAATGAAAGAGCAACTAATTTTGCAAGAAAAAGGTGAAAGACAAAGCTGTAATATTTGATGCAACGTGTGTGTACAGCTGTGATGATTCCTTTCAACAGTTAAAATTCTTGAGAGCCATACAACCAGGATGTCTCTCTCAAAAACACATAACCTAAAGCATTAGTGAAGCATGGCATACATATTGTACAGTTTTAGAACTAAATGTAAGGAACTGCTGTGTTATGAACAAAGCATGCGCCTCATCACAATTATTCCAAAGCCAGGATGACTCACCTCTGGGTCATACATCCATGGCTGCAAGGGACAAGAACACAACTCAAAATATGACTTGCATAGTAAATGATTCAAATTTTGTAAAAGCAATTAAGTGCTCCAGAATGAAATGTATTTTTTAGCAGCAATGAAAAAAGCTAAATGGCAAGCCTCGGGGAAAACAAAAAAAAGGAACAGACATGGCCACTTGTTCTAGTTTCAGAGGTTTGATAGGAAACAACCCAGTCTCTTGAAAAGCCTCAGGGCATTCGGAACTTCAACTCTTAGCTTAAGCTCAATAACTTCTTACAGCATAACAGCAAAAATGAAAGTGAAACAGTTTTAATGAATAATTGGATAAAAATGGTATAAGAGCCTTAAATTTTGAGAAACTGGAAGTCAGTATCTTAGATTATTTGGTACTGAAGTAGACTTGACAAATATGAAGAAATGCTAAAATCTGTCATTGGCACCATTTTACTATATTTGCAGAGGATAACATGAAGTCAGATGTGCTGCCATATTTACCTGTGAATTTACAGAAGAGTAGAGATAAATTAATGGGACACCGTCTGCTGCATAGTCGTACACTTGTGCAAGCAGCATCTGTCCTCTTGTAAGTTCTTCAACTATCCTAAGTGCTTCCAGACTCCACTCCCCTGATTCACCTGAAATTGATTAAAAATAACAATAAAACAGAATCCATCAGGAGAAAGGGAGGCAGCAGAGCAGCATGTTAATGAATACATAACTTACCTGATGGTTTGATGTTAGCAAGGTAGCATTCAGTAGCTTGGAAGGGAAGTGTCATAAAGTCTTGCCGGATTTGTCTTAAGACTGAATTGCCCACTGGCATATAGCCACCATAATCTACAAATTTAATTTCACTAGTCTGGGATTCTTCATTGGTTGAAACTACTTGGGCTCTGTACCAGCCGTCAACAGCAGGTGCCACACAAATATTGCCAGCTAGAGAAAAGTAAAAATAAAGAACTGCTATAAAAAAATGTTTGTAAGATGACAAAATTAAAGCAGACATGCAACCAATAATACCTTCAATAGGATCTGGAAGATTTGGAGCGTCCACATTGGCATAAATAGAATTCATCATATGATTAAGTCGCTGAAGGAATTGATATGATGGATGGTATGGCTGCTGTACGAACATGTGTGCAGGTGACACCAAGCTTGAGATCATCACCTCATTGTTCACACCCTCAACGAGATGCAGCTGAATAAAGAAACAGTGACATAAGCTTCTGACATACAATTGTAATTCAAAAGATTCTGAATAGACCAAGGACCTACTTGACAGAAATCTGGAACCAAGGGAAACGTTGTTGGTGTTGGTGCTAGGGAAATCTGATCTAATGTAATATTGGGGTACTTGTTAATCGGAAACCGTTGTCGGATCATAGTTAAAGCATTGTCTATGTCTGCTGTAGTTCCTAAAATTAGAGAAAAAACAATTAGTACTTCATGTTATGACAATAAGCACAATATTCCAATAGTGTGGCGGAATCTCACCTTCAATTGTACAAATCTTTTGCTTGGTCGATTCTGGGTGTCTCTTAATTGTTACAGAAGCATTAGTCTTTGACTTTATTTCATGTACAAATGACCCATGGCGACCAATGAGACGTCCCACTAGCACCTGAGGAAGCAAGAAATCATACACGGAATAGTTGCTGGTTGATTCTACACTGTTGTCTACTTCAGCGTCACCAGCCAGAGAACCACTGCCCACAGGAGTCCTTGATGGCGGAGACGCTACGTCACTGCACCCCTTGCCACTGTCGCTGGAGCCCTGAAAAAGGAGCATAAAAAACAGTCCGTATGATCCAGAATAACAAAGACGGATGGAATGTGACTAGTCTAACAGTGCAGGCTTACCTCACTATGCTCATCTGAATAGCTGCTCATAGATGGGCTGGCCAGCATGGCATCGACAGGGCTGTGGTTGGCAGAATCCCTCTCCGCACCACGCCTCTGCTCCTCACTTGATCCAAGAGCCAAGGATGCAAGTTTGCCTTCCAGGGCACATACTTTACTACTCTCATCCTTAGCTTCTTTGGGAGGAGCCATCGCAGCTTCAACTTCTTTCGTATCCTTCATTTTGTCGGGAGATGAAGCTTTCTGAGCTGTCTCTGGAGGAGACTTGTTCTCTTGATGAATAATTTCCGCACACTTGACCTCTTGAGGTGCAGAGAGTAACGGCTCACAATTCAAAGCAACTAGTTTCTCCTCAACAGGAGAGGGTAGAGTATTATCACACTCTAAAGACTTCACAGATAGTGTCTCCCCAGTAGGAGACAATGAAAGAGTGTTGTCACACTTGGGAGGCTTAGCAACCTGAATGGGATTTACTGCCTCAACTGGAGTAGCGACAGCGCTTATTTCCACGTCCTCACTCTTGGTTGTTTCAACACCTTTTAACAAATCGGCAATGTCTGCGGAACTTAATTGCCTGTGGTCAACTGTCGAGTCTGGCTCGCAAGTCAAGTCACTCTGTTGCAAACCAAGGGGGATCTCGTCCTCCTCTTCAATATCTTGATGTCCCGCCTCTGCAGTGTCCGGCAAGAGTTTTGAAGTGCCTCCTGGGTCAGAGCGAAGAGTGTTCCTTTTCCGCTTGTACCACACAAGACTCAGCAGGATCACTAGTGACGGCAAAGACCACACCCACAGTTGTCGAGGAGTGCTGGCTGGAGCCATTCTTGACATCCACAGCGGAAGTTACCGCGGAAATGGTGGACCTGAAACAGACAAGAGCAGGCAGGCGTTAAGACCACAGATCAGGAAGTGTCAGTTTGTTTCCCCTAAAAATGCCTCAACACCCAACACAGTGGGCTAGAAGACCGGTACAGGCGGCCAAAACAGAGCTCCAGAGTCGCTAAACAGGACTCCAACCGAACGTGTGACTCCACCAATGGATTCCTCGTTCGGAGAGCAATCCGTTGGAGGGATCACACGATCGGTTTGAGTCCCATTTAGCGCCTCTAGAGCCTGCAGTTGGCCGCGCCGCCGCCGCCACCTCAGCAAAAGGGTAGGGTGGCCGATGGCCGCGGACGGCACCGGCACCGCCAAGTCGCCTGTCGCCCGCGGCAGCACGGCGGCAGCACGCCAGCATAAAGCAGAGGCAAGCAGCGCGACTCCAGGAAAAACGACACCGACTCGCCATAATCGGCTATGTCCGGTTCGGTTCCCCGCGGTTCCCACAAGGTGCCCGACCGTCCCGTCCAGACCGTCTCGACCCGGCCCGGCCGCCCGCCGCCCTGCGTGCACCGCGGTTTGGGCCCGGCCTGGGCCATACGCCCAGAGGACGACGGCGACGGCGGAACGTCCACGTCGGACACGCGGCCGAGAAGGTGCGCCACGCCTTCCGGTGTCCACGACGTCCTGCCCCGCCTGGCCCCGCCGCAGACTGACTCCGAGAGTCGCTTTCGTCGCTCCGTCTCCGTCGCACTCACGGGGCGTCCCCTGTAGGCGCGAGAGAGACAGCGCGACGGGATCAGTCGGCGTGGCGGTCGACCCGGTCAGCCCAGACAATCGGCCATCCACACCGCCGCCGTCCAGGCCCACATCGCGGCGAAGAGTCGCGCCCTGGCGTCGCGACGCCGCGGCCCACGAGGAGGGGGAGGGGAGGGCGACGGCGCCCCCGAAATAACACAAAACCGGACGGGCCGCGAATAAACGAACGCGCGAGCGGCGTGCGCCGGCCGGCATGTGTCAAACGCTTCCGCGAGCCCACCGCGAGTCGCGAGGCTGGGGCATGGGGCTTCCCCTGGAGGTGCGAGAGAGACAGAATCAGTCCGCAGCGCCGCCAGACCCGCCGACTGCACGCGCAAGGCGCACTCAAGCGCCAAGTCGACGGCCTGATGGACGCCGCGGGCCGTGTCCACTCCACGCGCAGCCACGCGCCCCGAAGCCCGGGCTCGGCGCACAGTGGGCCAGAAGGCTGGCGGAGGCGGCCAAAACTCTAGACGCGTTTTGAGCTCCAGCTTCGCTAGATGGGCCTCGAACCGAACGTGTGACCCCACCAATGAATGGCTCTCCGAACGAGGAATCCATTGGTGGGGTCACACGTTCGGTTCGAGTCCCATTTAGCGACTCTGGAGCCCAAAACGCGCGTCTAGAGTTTTGGCCGCCTCCACCGGTCTTCTGGCCCACTGTGCGGCGTCAAGGCTCGCCTCGGCGCCGCGGCCCGATGAAGGCAAACGTAGACGGGCCGAGGCGCGGCAGGCGTAGCCAGGGCATAGCCACCCGCCTTGGATTTGAAGGGGAATGGAAAGGGGAGAGGAGTGAGGGGGGGGGGGGCGAGAGCACAGAACCAGTTCTGGCGGGCGGCAGGCCTCCGGTTAGGTGCGCCTTCAGTCCGGAGGCAGGCCCTTTGCGTCGCAACCACTCATTCCAAAAAAAAAAAAAAAAAAAACTCTTCAAAAAGTTTATAAATGGTTAAAATGGGAAAGTCTTTTTGAGAGACGCGGCGGTACGGCATGCAAATGCGAGCTCGTTGCACCTTGAGCCGCATCTCCTTTGCGGTGCGTCCGAGGCGCGAGGCGCAGCGCTCGGGCCGGCAGGACGCGGCTGCAGGCCACCGTCCCAAAACGATCCAATTTTAATCGAAATCCCCAAACGCCGCGACGCGGGCTTGGCCCGACCGAGTGGCCCGGAGCTGGGCCCGGAGCCTGGGGCGGCGGGCGGCCTGGGCCTGGGGTGGAGCTTGACGGGCATGAGGCAATGCTCCGATCTGGAAAAGTGTGTCAGCCGATCGGAAAGTGTGGCGGGCGACGGGACTCGGCGGGCGGGGCACAGCGCGCTGCGCGGCGCGGCCAAGTCCAAAACTTTGCTCTGCTCGTAAACACACATTGCCCCACACCACCAGAAGAAACAGGAGCGCGATCAAAAAGGCGGCGGGGGTTTTCAAGCTGCGGGACAAAGGGGTGGGGGGGGGGTCAAGGACTTCCCCCAAGGACAGCAGGGCGGCGAGGCTTGGCGGGGGCGTCGAGGTCCCGCCGCGTCCTCGGCGTCCTACTCGACACGCACGAGGGCATCGAGGACGTCACCGGGCCAACAGCCGTGGCCACACCGCACAGTGGGCCAGAAGACCAGTGGAGGCGGTCAGAATCCCAGACGCGTTTTGAGCTCCAGAGTCACTAAATGGGACTCGAACCGACCGTGATACCCCACCAATGGATTGCTCTCCGATCGAGGAATCCATTGGTGGGGTCACACGTTTGGTTCGAGTCCTGTTGAGCGACTCTGGAGCTCAAAACGCGTCTAGAGTTTTGGCCGCCTCCACCGGTCTTCTGGCCCACTGTGCAGGATCCGCGATTCGGACAGTCCGTCAACCTCCAGCGCCACTACACTATCGGGCCGCGTATCTGCCCCGGCTGGGCGGGCTGGGCGGGCTGGGCGGGCTGCCGGAGTTCCTCGGGCAGGGGCGGGGCCGGACCGGTCCACTGACTGGCCCTTGTGTCTGGAGTCTGGAGGCTCTGTACGCTGGAGTCCTGGCTGGACCCCGGCCGGAGTGCAGGAAAGCGATTGGCCCATTTCGGATTGACGTCACACTCGCGGGTGAAATCGCGGGGCCGCTTTGCAGACACTTGAGCCGTCGCAGTTTCAGCGCAGCGCGGCGGTGCAGCAGCGGGCCCATCTATCGACGAGCCCGATAGAGAGAGAGGGGGAGGGGGGATAGATGCGTGCGGTGCAGTCGTTGCACGGGGATAGAACACGGGGTGGGGGGCACAGTGCCTTGCAGTGCCTTGCAGTGCCGGCACACACGTGACAACGTCGCGACGCCCCGGCCAGCCTAGGCCGGCCGCCTCCGTGGCGTGGCACTGCGGTGCACCGTGGCCACCACACTGCAGACGCGGGGCGCGGTTCGTTCACCGCGTACACACACCGCCAAGAGTAAACGCCCAAATCTAGCGGCGCCACAACGCGGGGCTTTATTTTGCCCTGCGAGCCGCGCGGCCAGAGTCGCGGGCGCCGCGCGTCGGGCAGGAGACGCTCTCGATTAGATAAACCCTCCGTCGAGTATTTTCACCGCGATGGAAAGAGTGGCTCCGCTGCCATTCATTTTCGAGGGCCGCGGACAGTGGGCCAGAAGACCGGTGGAGGCGGACAAAACTCTAGACGCGTTTTGAGCTCCAGAGTCGCTCCATGAGACTCGAACCGAACGTGTGACCCCACCAACGGGATTGCTCTCCGAACGAGGAATCCATTGGTGGGGTCACACGTTCGGCTCAAGTCTCATTGAGCGACTCTGGAGCTCGAAGCGCGTCTGGAATTTCGGCCGCCTCCACCGGCCTTCTGGCCCACTGTGCGCCATCGGGCCGCACGCGAAACGCGGCGTAACGCCACCACGTAGACGACCCCGCTATCATCGACCGCGTGTGCATTTTCCGCATGTGTGTCGAAACGGGGTCGAACTAAAACATCGATGGCGACTCTGCCTCGCACTAGACAGGCGCGGGGGGGGGGGGGCAGCCCGGCTACACACAAACACAATCGAGGGCACGGCGAGGCGGACGCGAAGCGCGCGTCGCGGTGTAGGGCCTTCAGGACCTTGACACGGAAGCCGAAGACGCAGAGTGAGGGGGGAGGGGGAGTAGCGGGTCAGCGCCAGATCAAAATATCAAAACAACAAAAACAAAGTCGCCACGTGTCGCCACTAAAGAGCCTCCCCCGGGCACGGTCGATTTGCCAGAAGACCGGCGCAGGCGGCCCAAATTCCACACTCTGGAGCTCAAAACAGAGGCAGACCCGAGGTCCATTTCACCCCTAGTTACGCCATCCAGCGACGACAAGCAGTCCTCCTCGAACCGCGCGAGCGAAGCCTCACCTAAAGAACACACAAACAAACAAAAACATTAGGCCGCTGTCATGACGGGAACCGCAACAAGCCAACTTTCTTGGCTGCTCTTCGAATTGGTGGGATCACAGGTTCGGTTCGAGTCCTGTTAGCGACTCTGGAGCTCAAAACGCGTCTAGAGTTTAGGCCGCCTCCACCGGTCTTCTGGCCCACTGGGCGCAGGCGTACCGCAAGGGCACACGCCCCGGGGCGGCCTGCAAGAGCAGCCAGTGGCGCCTCTCCAAAACGCAGCGGTAGTTGGCGTGCACCGCGAGCCGCGTGCAGCACTGCAGGGCGCTGCCAGTGTAGTGACACTGCACGACACCCGGCGCGACCTCCACCAATGTCAGTCAGTCCCCCCACGCCTGGGCGCGCTAGCCGCACTGGCGGTAGGTCATCAACACTTCCGGGCAGTCCCCTGCCATTCGCCACTACACCAGTGGCGACAAAACGATCAACTAGAGAGACTTTCGTGGTAATGGACGCGACGTGACAGTTCAGCACCTTTCCTCGCGGGTCGGCTCAGACTGGAGCCGATGACGACCCCTTGACGTTTTGGCCAGACACCCACAAAACCGTCGCCTCCCTATCGGGTGCGAGAGAGACAGCGCGGCGGGGCGCCGTCCTTGGGACGCACGGGCGTGCGAGCGTGTGCGCCGCCCACCCATTCACGAGGAGCCGAGGTTCGAACACCGGCAGCGGCGCGCAAAAATAAACCAAAACAACCACGCGTGTAAACCGACCGGGGGCCGCCGGCATCCTTTTGCTAGGCCGCTAGGCCAGCCTGTGCATGTGTGAGTGTGGGCGGGCGCACACGGACACGAGCTTGGCGTGACTGCCAGCCCGTTTCACTGCGCAGTTCATGAGTTCGATCGCACGCCAGGGCGCGCCAGGGGGGCC